ATATGCTCAATATTTTGAAATTGATCCTTAATCAATGTTCATATTTTCCCAACTTCTTACGGTGGCATGAATGCAAGTGCACATGTTTTCTTGATTGTGCGGTTTCTTCATACTTGGTTAATCCGATCCATATTGTATAGCATGCCCAGGACACGAACGGTCTTCACATTTCCAATAAACCGTAGTATCCACAATTTTGTCTTGGGTGTAACGAAAAGTATCAAGTAAAATAAAATTGGTTTCTTACGCTTACTTTCAACAATAGCTAACATGAAATACAGTGCAAGATATATCAGAGAAATCATTATGTTAAAGTTTAATACAAATAGAATAGATAGTGCTTAATTTCCGTTTCTAACTACATGTATACTTCATTTAGAATAATTCAGCATTCTTTTTAATTAGTCTATTTAAAAAAAAAGCTTATTAATTAGAATAATCTATATTCTAGTTCTAGTTTTATTTTTCGACGAAACAGGAACAACTAAAGGTTTGTTTTTCGACAAAACAGGAATATTAATTAAGCTTTCGACGAAATGGGAACTAACCACATGTTCAATGGTCTTAATGTGAAAATTGATCAAAACAGATTAATACTAAATCAAATTTGATTCTTTAAAGAACCCGCTGATCTTATTTCGATAAATGATTAAACGCGGATTCTTGAACAAGATAAGTTGGAGTTATATTGTTGGAAGAGTATATATATGAATACTTTACTCTGGTTAAAAATGAAAACTTTAAAATGACGATCCCAATGTCAACGAACTAACTTTCATGAATTTTATTCGAGTCTTAATGACAACAAGAAGCCTCCTGTGTTTGTCCGTGAACAAAAATTAGTATTAGAAAATGAAGATCATGAATATCCGAAATGTGAATTAGAAATGAGGGACGATAAACGTCAAAAGATATTAAAGAACGGTAAGTCATTTACTCCATTTCTAGCTACTATTATCTATACTGACTTAATCCTATTTCTGAGTACCGTGTCACCATATGAAATAATGCGATGTAAAAATAAACAATGTGCAAATCAGTTAAGGGAAGTCGTCAAAATTCGCATCGATGAATAAATTCACCGGTAACTGGACTGGAAAGAAAATTGAGAATAGTATTATTCAATTTATCCGAAGAAAAGAATATGAAACTATCGTATAACAGAAAGAACATGTATGTATATATTCTTTTCTGTACTTTACTTGACTTAATTGATTTTTATATTTAACCGGTATTATTTGATGTTATGTTGTGGTTTTTATCAGCATCTATAATTAAACGAAGAATATAGAAAAAAAGGACATATAAATATTTTATTTATGACAAAAGAGAAACTTTCAGAAACAAGGTTAATCTTTATTTTTTTTATACAAAAATAGTTAGACATTTTCCACAGACATCTATAATTCGTTAGCATTACGAGTTATACTCTAGGTTCAGTCTTTTGAGAAAAGGTACCGTTCCGTTTTGAGTTATACGACTGCCAATATCGCTGCTCGGCATACGAAAACTTTAGTTTCAATGAAAATTTCAGAAAATTTAATAAATTACAAGTTTGTTGATACTTTCGGCTATACGAAGTGCTTTTTCAAAGATCTCCTTCGGAATAGTTTCGGAAAAGGGTTATGAAAACATAGGTTAAACTGTCTTCTTTTGATTGTTGAAAATCGCAAGTCCCTATCTTTTATCGTTCTGAAGTTATTCGAAAAACAACCGAGTGCGTTGAATTTTGGTACCGAATGTAGGTATATCCGACTGTTGGTTTTTAACCAAAGTCTAATCATTCTTACAGCAAGATTCAAAGTTCGGATCGCGATTTTCGGCAGAGAAGAGAAGAACGGTCGGTTTTCGGTTTCCAAATCGTTCGGTTTTCACGCAGATTCCAAATATCACCTCACTTCCGTTTCAAACTGACATCTTTCTGGTGAAAAAATTGAAATTATTACGGCAATTTTTCCAATTTCTTGCAACCGACTGCATTTGGTGTTTAACTTTGTTTATGAAGCTACCATTGGTAAACATTGTAAATTAGTCTATCTTATACAGAATTATGCGCTCTACAAAATGCGATATATACTTCCTTGTGTAATTGAACCGTACATTATTTTCTCAAAAGACTAATCAGAAAGTGCTTGTTGACTTCAGTCTCTCACAGATATTTGACGGTTAGCTGACGTTTAGAATACCGGATTAGTCATGACCAGGTCACTTTTGTTAGTTTGTTCGCTTTTGTCACCATTATTAAGTGCAGTTTTTAACAATTAATCAGGGAACGATACTGTAGAAACTAAAAAAGTAAAAAATTTGATCAAAATTTGAGTTTTTTCCGTTTTTCGACATGAAGAAAATTTTTGAAACTTTAAAAAATATATCTCATTAACGAGCTCTATCGAATGATGTATAATAAGTTGAAAAAAAAATCTGCTACACTTTTGTCTCACACACACCTTACATATATTATTCATAAAAAGAAAGAATGCGCTTGGTCAGTTTTTAAATAATTTTTGAACGACGATAGGTTTAGAGCTTCACCATGCACTCGAGAAGCACCAGGCGGATAGAACCCAAAACAAAAAAATGTGAAAAGTCACTGCTTAGCAGTAACGTTGACTTTCCACTAGAAAAATCTACATACATTAATAGATATATATAATATTTTAAAATATCTATTTTTATACGAATAATATCTTTTTGAAGTATCATAAGAAGAAAGTACAATGTGATAATATTCTCATAATATGATCTATATAGAATAATCTAGATAAGAAAGAAAATATCGAATATGGATATTAATAAGAACAAATGTGTATTATTTTGTCGTCTACCTCGATAATGAAAAGTGATAATAAGTGTAACTTGTGATGTAGTGGGCAAATAGGGCAATAAAACACGCAAGCACAACTGATTCGACTTGCTTTTATGATCGAGATACAACAAACAAACTGTGAGCAACTTTTAGGATCGATGATACACAAGACAGATCTGTATCGATTGGATATCCTACGTTATTGTATTTGTAAAGCTAAATGTATGTATATATAATCAGCGAAAAGTATCTAATGCAAACTTCCAGCCACTGGAATGCTTTTTTCTGGGAGTTAGCTGGTCTTTTTATAGATGACTCAACACGTTCTATCGAATGGCATCGGTGGTATTTGATCTAAGTTTGTTAGTGACTGTGAGCGTCTTTTACTAACACTCTCCAACAATTGGATGATAAAATAATAAATATTTGTGCTTAGTAATGTTCATATTCGATATTTTCTTTCTCATCTAGATTATTCTATATAAATCGTATTGTGAGAATAATATCACATTATGCTTTCTTATTATAATCCAAAAAAGTATTTATATCAAAATAAATATTTTGAAATATTTTATCTATATATATCTACTAATACTATTCGCAGATTTTTCTTCTTCATTCTCAAGTTATAATAGTTGACAAAGTTCTGTTAGTCTAACATCAGTTTAGATAAAGTAACAATAAACTAGTTTTTTCGTTTGTATTGTAGAAATTTTAGATTCTCTAATTTTATATCCCAAATACTAAATTATTAATTATGATATCGTTATTATTAATTGTTATGCTTTTACCAATGGCACTCACAATCAGTTGTGAAAAAGATGGTATTCCAACTTGTATTCAACGTAAAATTCAAGGTCAACCACTCCACATGCGCCCAGGTGGTATTACTCAATATAATTATCGCAATCAAACAGTATATTTTATTGTATCGCCTTGTTGCGATATGTTTAATTATTTGTATGATAGTAGATGTGAAACAATTTGTGCACCAAGTGGCGGTTTCATTGGCCGTGGTGATGGTAAATGTCCTGATTTTAATAGTAAAGCAACAAATCCAAAGCCAGTTTGTATGGACAATCCAAAATGAAACTTATTAGTCATATCTTCTTAAATTAAAAAAAATGTCTTATAGTTTTATACTTCAATAAATAGAATTTATCAGAGCACATGAATTTATACTTCTCTGTTATTATTTTATATTTAGAGTACGGTGGGGTAATTAGAACAGTATTTTATTAAATCTCTGTATTGTCGTTCTCTTTCAGTTAGCTTAAGAAATTTTTGGGTAGTTCCTTGGCAAAAGTCGGAGAGGAGGTATTTTTTTTCTGTCGAATAGTTGTTTTCGTTTTTCTAAATGTTATTTCCTTCAGGATCAGGAGCAGATCTGCGGTTGACTGGTCTTGACTGTTCTGAT